TTCTATGTCCCCAATGTAAACACCACTGATAAGATGGACCTGTGTTTACAAATAAACACATAGCAAAGCTTCACGTGCAGCTTCGATTGGGGGGAAACCACATCAAAACTATGAATCTTTAATGAAATATAGCCCGGACTATAGATGTGAGAATTTAAAAGAAAATACAGAAGAAAATAATAAAATTTAGGTATTAGATACGAAAGGAAGGATTTGCAGCATTTAGTTGATTAGAAACATACATAAATAAGCTTAATTAATGTTGCTTGATGAAACTAACAGTCGGTTTTGTACTGCTTCTGTTTGATGTCGGAATGCGCGAAAAATTATTCGCAAACTCACCCGAAACAACGACTTCTTCGGCCTTTTTCTTTGATTTTCTTTTTGATCTCGCCATAGTCCAAGATCAAAGCGGCGGGAACAAGCCAAACCGGCAAGAAATAGTGTTTAATTTACATCACAAACGACTCTACCTTTGCTTCCTTGTGTTTTGAAGTTTCCCGCCAGTTCCCTTGAGAATGCGTCTGCGCGTGCGTTTATAAAACAACCCCTGATCAAACAGCTGGAAGGCTCAGTCACACGGAAATTCAAAAAAAAAACATCTGATATTTTACAACGAAACGTACAACAAGGCTGTTTTAATACCGGAAAAGGGTTATATAAGCTTTTAAGGTAAGCTATAAATTTCCTACTACATTTTACTATTTTCTTATTACCGTAAAATCGAAATCAAAACGTATTTTCAACTGAAACACAGCTTTTTTTGATATCACATGTCGATCATGTACCGTCGCGTAATGAATTTAACTTAAAAACAATGATGAAGTTACAATCTAATATCGAGACGTTTTAGCGATGTAAAAGAAATTTTTAGTGTAAATAGAATTCATATCGACTCTGCTCTAATTCAAAATCGTTTTTCTCGGGTATTTTTTTTGGAAAATGCATTTAATGATTCAATAATCTCTAAAGAGTTGTGTTACATTTTCTTGTTAATTCAATTAACTTAACAGGCCCTTAAATTTAAAGCCCAACGTAAGGTATTAGCCTTTTAAAATTATGACTGCAAGCTTTTTTTTAACCATTTTGAAAGCTAATTTTCCTGGCCTACTCGACATATAGCCCCCCTAGCTCCAACCTATGTCCCTGGGCTTTTGTTTCTAATCAATCAATAGAGTGAAATTTTTAATTCTAATAATTACTCATTGCTGAACAGAATACATTTTCTCAACTTATACTATTTTTAATGGTAGAAGTGTCCTTCAGAATGGCTGACAAAACAACAATGAAAGATGTTGCTGGTCGAGGACATGATGCCGTTGATTGTGACAGATCGAAAGCCATGGAGGAAGAAAAACTTTTAAAAGAAAGACTTCTTGATGAGAAAATGAAGTTAATAAAACAAAAGAACGAAGAAAGACTGAGACGGCAAAAGGAAATTGAGGAAGACATCAGGTGTGCCAGTTTGCACAGCACTCAAGCTGCAGAGGAAAAGCCTGCTGTCACAGAACATAAAATGGCTGGCATACAGAAGGATAATAATTCATCAGTATCCAGGATGAGAGGTAGAGCAAGAGGAAGAATTCTAGCTAAAATGGCAAAGGAAGAACTCCAGGCTCACAGATTTGAAAACAAGGGAAAGCAAACCTATGAGGATTTAGAAAATGAAGTGCAAAAGAAAGAGATTAGGAATTCTCCTCCTAGAGGGGGTTCGTCAAGCTTCTTGTACGATGAGCGCAGAGTCGATATGTCAAAGGTGTCAAGCAGGTCAAGCAATTCTTGGGGTGGAAGTCAGTTTGAAGATGTTGTTGAAAAAGTTGTGGAAAAACATGCCCATCAAAGAAAAAAGGATCAAAACATTGAAGTCTCCATGACTGGAAAAGAAAGAAAACAATATATAGAATGGAAAGAGGAAAGAAAGAGAATAGATAGAGAAAGGAAATTACGTCAGAAAAGCGGAGAAAACTGGAAGAGAGAATGGGATAGAGAAAAAGTTCATAAAGAATTCAGTTCCACTCATGAAAGACATGATCAGCATCATACAAGACGTAGTGGACAAAGGTTTGGGGAGAGGACAAGGCGGAAACCTGACTGGGATCTTCATGACGACAGAGTCCCAGAAAAAGATATTCATTATACAGACAATAACAGAGAAAATGAGAGAGATAACTGGGAAGAAATAAATGACCAAAAGAACAATATTGCAATTAATAATGAGGTAGAAGATTGGGAAAATAGTAGCTCTACTGGCGTTGAAAGACACATTGAATCAGGCTTAAAAGAAGAAACCATTTTATCGGCAAATTTGGAAGACAGCACAACCAGAAAAGTAAACAAAAAAGACGATTCAAATACAAACAATGAAACAAATGAAACTGTTGATAATGCAGCAGTAAACTCAGAAATGTCTAAAGAACATCATACAACAGACATGGCTGATAGCAAAGAAGTAAAAGAAACTTTTGAACCAAGAATTAATCAAGAACAGGAAGATATTGACATTAAGAATCTAACTGTAACTATCGATTCAAAAGGAAAGAGAAATATATTTGATGAGCTGACAAATAATGATATAAATTCACATCCTGATAAAATGGAAGGTACATTTAGTGATGACAGCAAGGAGAGTAAGGAAGAGACTCTCAGTGTCAAGGAAGATAAAGTTATCGAAGAGGCAAAACCGCAGAGAATTCACAAGAAGCACCGGCGAAGAGAAGAGAAAGAAAGTCCCCAAAGCAGTAAACCACAGGAGAAACAGGATTTAAGTAATGAAATGGTTGAAAACAAAAAGATAAATAATTCAGAACTTGAAAGAAACACAACAGATGTGAAGGTTGAATCTGACAGCATCACCAACTCAATGTCGTCATCATCACACCATGAAAAGTCCGAGGAAAGCTTACCAAAGCTTGAAATCAAGAAAGCAGAGGAGAACAATGAAGATGTGCCAGATTTTTTGAAGACACCACAGAAAAAGAACTGGGCTGATTGTGAGTTTGACGAAGAATTAGACTTACCACCACTAGAATGGGGCAGCCTTACAAAATGATTATTCCACAGATATCATCAAGATAACATTGAAGTATTATTGGTGTAATTGGTAAACTTTCCATGTCTCATGTATTGATGTATATCTTAGATGTTTTTTTWAAATTAAACTTATAATATTCTTCATGACCAAAGTCAGCCACTATTATACATCTTTATAATTTATTACGTAATTCTAGATTTTTAAAATTTTGTAATAATATTCTTCATGTATCATTTATGACATAATTCTAGATTTTAAAAATCTTGTCTCTGCTGCTTGAGGCTTTTTAATTGAAACTCTAATACTTTCAAACAAAAATGAATGCATTAATATTTGCATGTAGTTTAGAATGTGTATTTCTAGGTTTTAGTAAAAAACATGTCAAAATATGCTGGTCATGTACCATTTTAATAGTGTTTTTAAATAAATTTGATGAATCAAAATTTAAAAAATAAGTGGTACATGTGTTTTGTTTAGGGATCAAGGAGGGGATCAGGTGAAGAGGGAGATGAAATAAAAATTTTTGGGTGGTGTTATCACTTCAGAGCCTGGTTGTACGAAGGGTGGATAGCACTATCCGATGGATGTGTTATCCATTAAATAAATTTATTGGATGACAGCATGGACTTATCCAATGATAACAGGGTCCAGGTTTTAAATACATAACCCCATTGACTTATTACCTTCGGCTTCTGTTTTAATCAATGTGTAATGTTCTTGTCTATATCTTCACTAACACATACCATATCCTAACAAGTAAAATGACTCAAACAACAGAATAAATAATATGATTTATTCAGTCCTTAGTAGTTGCATTAGTATTGAATAAATCATTGATAAAATTATTAATGCTGTTTAAAGAGCACCACAGTTCTTTAAGATTGGAACTAGTTCTCCAGATGCTTGCATGGCTTTTGTCTTTGATCCATCAGCAATGAATTTCTTGTCAACAAAAAGTTGAGGGACCTGCAAGCAATCAAAACCAATTGGATATTAGAACATCACTGTCATAAATCTTGCTGTCAGGAACTGTTGAGGGAGGAGGGTAGGGGCTTGCCCTCCCATGCTTTTCTTCTTCTTTCGCATACTAATCTCTTATAATTTCCATTCTAAACCCCTCCACTTTTTTCCTTGTTCATAATAGTCTCTTGTACTTTTCTTGTGCTTTTAATTATTTCGCTATATCCTCCAACATGGCTGCCGTGTTATGTATGTTCTGAAATTACTCCATATAAACTTCCTTATTTTGGCATTCATATCCAAAAAAACAACCATTTTAAATGTTATGGAGCAATGGAAAATAAAAATATTAACAGTATTTTTTTCCGGGGGGAGGGGGGGGGTCGAAATAGACAACATTCTGTTTTTAGCTACTGCACATGCAGCCTCCGCTGAAAACCTGATTTGAACACCGCCACCCGTTTTCATCGTATTATAATAAAGTTTTATCATGGCACTGAACTAATATTAAATACCCAAATATATTACCTGAAATAATAAGCTTACAGCGTTTGAAGCTATATGAACCCAACGTTGACAATCCTAACTATCCATTAAATGTACACCATTTCGAATTGATCATAACTAATGAACTATATTTCTAAATTAACAGTCTTAAAACTAAAAACTTACACTTCTGATGCCAGATAACGTTCGTAAATAATCCTGAATACTGTCACCGTCATTACGTCCATCAAGCTCGATCACCAAAAAATCTTTGAGTCCAGTTTTGTTCAGAGCTGCTTTGGCCATATCACAGTAAGGACAGTAGGTCTTAGAGAATACTACTACCTTGTTTGATGCTATCATTTCATCTACAAGCTTTTTTGCTGCTGCATTCGGCATAGTGCTACCACTTAGTCCCATACAGTCGATAAACAGAATCGAGATATTATGTAATTGAGTGCGATCGCTCGAGTCGAGGCTAGAACGTCATGGAGTTAGCCATATAGTGTCCTTAGAGTATTTATGCAAATGAGTTATATACATATATACATATATACCCTTTGTTATTGTTCTATAATTGTTGTCCCTCCCCATAACCATACAGCACTAGTTAACCCCTTTGTGAATCAACTTCAAGCACCAATGCTCAACCACTCACTTGCTAGCAGTCTTGTACCTTTTCACAAAAGAGGGGTGGATCCATGAATTTTAGAAGGGTGGTGACCGTCCAGGAATTTGTTGAAAAGGAGAGTTGACCGTTACAAACGATATGCTGAGAAATTTTAGCAAAAGGGGGTTGACAAGTCACCCCTTTTAACACCCCTGAATCTGCCCCTGCAAAAAAATGTTTGATTCAAAAATTTGCAAAGTGCATTTGGTTACACCTGAACCATAAGTCCAAAGTACAGTGCAGTCTTTACTGCTAGCAAATTACTACAAGTCGACCACAATAATTTTTCTTAAATGTGAGTGATGAAGTAGGGACTGTAAGGAGTAGCGAGCGACAGAGTCCAAATAGAGAACATAAGGAAAAATGGACTTTAAAAAAGACTACCTTTGAGCCCATCAGTAATCCAGCAGTTGCACTCTAAGACCAATACTTTTATACCAGCTATAATTCAGGTGTTGGTTCTTGTGTATGAGATTTGGACACAATTCAAAAGTGATTTTAATCAATAAATCTTTACCAATTTAATACAGTGTAATCAATACCATCAAAACACTGAATTTTGATAAATAATTTCAAATAAAAAACAAATGCCAACTGACTGCCTTCCTTTTATCAAGTTTTCATCTACTTTCTTCTTATCTATCTTCACAGTTTTCTCTATTTCTTCTTCCATGCAGCTTTGCTATTCATAGCAACTGTAATGGAAAAAATTACCATYAAGACTTGATCATAGCATAGTCATAGTACATGTGAAATTACATTACACCAATTAAATTAGGTAATGGCAAACATGAACTAAAATGCTTCCATGCATTTATCTGCAGAATATCATGGAAATACCAAAACCTTCTTATTTACAAGAATAATATAACTTGTACCTGGTAGTTCTTCGTAACATTTTTTAACAACATATACTAATGAACTAAATTACCTAATAAACTAAATTAAATTACAATGAAGATTTTGCATCAATGGGAAAAATACAGGACTTACTGCTCTGTCAGTATGCCATTCAATTCACCAATAGAAATTTTGCACCATCACACATGCCCATGCCCATCAATACAGCTTGGGCTGACTGTGGCTAGATAGCAGAACAATAATATCTTTTTGCTCTTAGGAATTAAATTCATTATTATGTAAAACAATTATATTGTTCCTGCCATCTGACATGCCTGCCATCATTTGAAGGTGCAAAACCTTTGTTTTTGGCTGCATGTATAGTCAAAATTATTGAATATGGGTATGCTGCAATGGCATGTTTTCCATTTATGCAAAAGCTACCCTTTCAAATAATTAATAATAATAAGACATTATAACAAAGGGGTGAAGAGAAATGGCAAGAGGATGGAATCCTTCTCCCCCTTTCCTACAGATCATCTGGGAATGAAAAGACTATGAGGTATGAGGCATGCTTTGGATGTTTTTTTGAAATTCAGCATGTGAAAACACAAATATCCATATGATATTCATATTATTACCTATTAAAGATTACTGAAATATGTAAACTAAGTATTAGGGACCAATCGATTTTTACGTCCCAGGGGCTGGGGGGGCGGCAGTGGTTTATTTGTAAAAAAATGAAATGAAACTTGTACCCCCGTCTAAAATCAATAAATGGAAAACGTATCCTCCCCCTTCAACACTACTAAATACGTCACCCCCCCTAAAATACGGCCATTACAAAAATGTACCCCCCAAATTTTACTGGCTTTAAAAAATGTACCCCCTTGTATTTCCACCGCGCGCCCCCTCCCTCTGGGACGTAATAAATGATCGGTTCCTTATCTTCATTATCATCTATGCCTGTGTGGCACTTAAAGCTGAAAGTATTATCTTCGCCAAGTGTAAAATTAATAAATATATAACGCTTGACATTCGCCAAGAAAATTAAGTAAACAATCAGACAATATTGTTTCAGGTACAATAATATCTACACTAGACTATTTCAAGATGCAAATCAATACGGATTATGATTAATTTCTGGGAGATCGAAGTTCTTTTTTTCTTACTAGTAATAAATAAACTATTTTCAATGAGAATTACTTAGCCTTTAGTTTTAGTTTGTAATATTTACCAAATTAGTTTTAAATAAATACTTGAGGCAATGCACGCTCTAACATGTCAAGAGATTTTTCTATCCTAAAACCGCAATCCTAAAACAGGGAGCGCAGATTATTTAAATGCTCGTAATATTTTTAAAATTTGATGCAATAGTATCAAACAGCTAAATCTCTCATAGCTACAAATTCAGGCATACTTTGAACCCTCCTTGTTTGTTCATCAACATCACTTTTAGAAACTGCCAGTGGATAGACTTTGCTCGACGACTGACTCCTTATAGTCTTTATACTCGAACCCAAATCTGTTAAGCTACGCGTAAGCCATTTGAGTGTCGAACTGTTGTCCAAATCCTTTGTCTCCGCAAGATATCGTTCAATTAGGCAACGAAAGACCTTTGGTATTTCTGATAACTCAAACGACCGAGTCTCCAACATTGTTCTAAATTGACTTATTATTTCTCCGCTGTGCTCTGGTCGAACTTTAGTGGATAACTCTTCGAGAACTAGCCTGTCAACAGGACTTAATTGATAGTTATGTCTATTCGGCGTACTTATTAACCAACTATAGTCTGCCGTGTTTTTTCGTCGCTTTTCCTCCCGTTCTCTTTCCGCTTTTAAATCCTCGATTATTTTCATCTGACTTTCTAGTTCGTTCATCAACGTTTCAGCAACTAAAACGCTATCTGGTTTACTGGGAGGAACATCGCTGTCCGCGCGTTTTAATCCAAAACCTCCTAACAACATATTAACAGATTTTAAGGAACATTAGCTGAGGTCCACTTCAGACTGTTACTGTACAAACTCCACTGAAATTCTCCGCATTTAGATACCTATTAAAATGAACAGATAGACTACTGAACCAACAGCTGTACCAAATCTGTACCAAAATATAAACTCATTTGCTTTTTGTGACGTCATAATAGATTTATGGCCCAACTAACTTTTTAGGTTCCAGTCCTTCTCGACGATATTTGACAGTATTTATATCTTATAAGATTTAAAGTGCATATCACCCCTAAAAKCAAACCACTTTTATCATATTCTAGACATCACCAGCTTTCAAACTATATACATACGAGGTCGATTGGATAATAGAGTACGATATGTTGCTTTGAAATATCAGTTGCTTTAGTGTTGTGATTCGAATGAAAAATTAAAAATAGCTAGAACCGGTTTTCATCATATTCACTGGTAATGTTTAGAATTTTTTACAACTAATTTGTCGATTCTTATCGATCAGCTTTATTCGAAATGGACTAGCCGAACTACGTCATAATCCTCAAAACCAGTTCGGGGCGCGCACTTGGCCATATCGGAACATGTTATTTATCATAAAAGTACTCATCATGAGATTTTAAATTACAAAARCCAAGACCATTGCGAAGCAGTATGTATTAATATGATGACACGAATTTATTAATGATTTACAAATCCATGATGAGTTTACCCTATGGATCTGAGTCGTAATTCATAAATTAGAATAGCAAGATATTTCAAAATTGTCTCTGAAGTTGCTGCATGTGCATTTGCAGGCGGGGACCCTTCTTGTGTTAAGCAGAAATGGGATTTTCCATTTACTGGCGGATTAAAGTGAGATAACCGGTTAAAAATTATCAATTTGAGTTAAATGCATGTGGTAACGCCTATGGCTTTAAGTATTGGTGAAATTAAGGAATTATAACCCGTTAAAACCTGTTAGATACTCGATCATCTCCAAGACTTCAGTTAATTAGGAAGCAATAAAACACTGATGAAAAATATATTTAAAAAAATTAATTCTTACGTTCTGCCTCAAGTTCCACATTTTTGCTTTATCAGTTTTTGTTTTTGTACGTGCTTGCGGATGCTTTCTTTGATCTGTTCTAAGCTTACATTTTCATTTACGCCTGTAAGTAAAAACACAGTAAACGCTACRAAAATGGTCTGACAGCTGTAATTTAAATTCACATAATTTAGACACTTACTCTCAAATAAAGAAGAACCAGCTAGATTAAGTGTTCGCTTCTCCGATCTTTGCCTTTTAAATGATGATCTTGAAATTTCCTTAAGACAAACATGCAAAAATGAGTAAGTTTTTTAACTTTTATCGTTCAATTGTCACAAACTGAGCAAGGAATTTTGGGTAAACAGGAATAAATAACGCTAACCCCGATTGCGAGAAAAATTATCAAAGGTTGATTGATATCCATTAAAAGTATTGAACGTAAATAAAAAAGGGGAATACTTCATTTTGTTTTATCCTTAGTTACTATGGTTTGTCAGTATCTTCTCGCTATTTGCAATGCATCAAAGGTACTGACAGCTTCTGCGCGCGATCGTACCAAGAGCATTGTAATTGCAAGTTGCGCACAATCCCTGCAAGGATGTGATGCGCTGGCAATGCAGTATACCGCAAACAATGACTACCTAGGAATCTTGGATGCGACAGTTTCAGGAACAGATCTACATAGAGCTATACGCCTTACTGTGATTCAATATTTCACCAAGCTCGTCACCATATTTCTCAACACAATTTGAAGGAGGTTTTCCAGTTTTTAAACTAGAATCAATTTATATACCTCCAAAACTTGCGTGTCGTGTGTCTTCAGATCAAACTCCTTGGCATGAGATTTTGCTGAGGCTGCGATTCCAATGTCGCACTTTTTCTTGTTGTTTGTTACAACACCGGTGTTATGGGCCTTACGTTTAAGACCAGATATTGTTTTAGATGAGCTACTTTCTGTTTGGCACGATTTTTTTGACCTGATTTTTGAGACGCCTTTCTCGATACTCGTGTTCTCATTTTCTTCGACTTTTCCTCGAGATCTGGTTCCATACTTTCGTAGTTGTTTTTCTGCGTTTTTCTTTTGTCGTTTCTTTGGGGTTGATGATTTAGTCTTTACAGGTGATTCATCTATTTGTTCTCGTTTAACCATCAATGTTTCTTGGTCAAGATGACATTCTGTCTCGCTGTGATCAAGGATAGGAGAGGCTGTCAAATCGAATATGAAGATGCCCAAAGGATCTTCTTGTTGCTTTTTGTCTTGGTTCGAACTTCGGTCTAGACAAATAAAAACAATTATGAAACGCCAACCATCCATGGGATCTTGCGCAATCTGCTACAATCTTGCGCAATTAGAATTAAACTTAAGAGAAGTCTCAATTCCAGGAATACATGCAGACATGCAGGTAAAACTGATTGCAGGTGAAAAACTTCCTCGCTAAAGGTGTTTGTCAATGCACGACAAATGGACTTGTACTAACCGTGTATAAAACTTACCATGACTAGGTACCTGTTGCCTAACTTGGACTTGCGACAGAACAGTGGCAACTGGAGAGTGTTTGGGCCATTTGTCTTTGGTCAGCAATAATAATCGATTGGCGGGCGAAGGAGCTGTTTTTGTTGGTTGTTCAACTTGTTTCTCTAATTGTATGGAAGGCCGTATAGTTGGACTTACTAATTGTCAAAAATATAAGCAATTCCATTAGAGAATATTCATGATGAACTACTGATTGAGTTTTCACTGTGATGTTTTATTTTAATAATGAGCCATGTGCAAAAAGCTCTAAACAGATTGTAACCACGGTTAACCACTGAAGAAATAGAAAACGCGCGCGCGTGCTGTGTGCAGTCATATATGAAGCACGCGGGGGTTGGCAGAACACGAGAGAAGTGTTAGGAGAAGCACGACGCGTAGCGGAGTGCTTCTGGACACTTTTCGAGTGTTCTGCCAATCTCAAAGTGCTTTATTACTGCACAGCACGGCAAGCAAGTTTTTTATTTCTTTTATGAAATACAAATTACAATAATAGATAGGAATGACGCAACGGAAAGTTGTGCTCTCATAAAGCACGCGCTCCAAGCCAATCAGAACGCGACATTCATAACAGTTATTTTATAATATGAAAGTGAACTCGCTATCACTGATTGAAAAACTTATTTAATATATGCATAAACAAAGAAGTAATACTTATTTGAAAAGTATAATAGTGTTGTAAATGCAGCAGTTGCCCTTGGCAGAAGCAAATGGGAAACTATATGGTAACATGTTACCGGCAATAACTTTTGCTCCACTTCAGTATTAGTATTTTTCTTTCTATGTTGCTATAATGCATATGTTACATGTTGTGGCGCTATTTTCTATCCACCCCCACTTACCAGCAGTAATTGGAAATGAAATTGAGAGTTGTTTCTGCCATTCTTCTGAGTAACTGTTAACTAGAGGAAGACACTGTGTAGAACTATCTGATTTCTGAACAGGAGCAATATGCATTGAAGTTGTGGTTGGCAGCGGATAAATAATTGCATTGGTCTCAGATAAGACATGTGTTTCATTAACCTTCTGGGTCAATGGGAACTGCACTGCATTGGCTTGAGATGGGAAACAGTGACAAGTCGATCCAGTATCCTCTGCAAGAGAACTTCCAGGATAACATTTTTGGAGAACACTTTGYGAAGGAGGAAAGGCTATATTTGTGGCTTGAATGTTTTCGTTCGTATTTCTACTACAAAGATACCCTAGATGTTCACTGTCACGCTTACTAGGAACCATATCCTTTCCACTAAAACCTGGTTTTGAGATTTGCATGCCAGTTTCTAACAAGCTTCTTTCATTTCGTTGGAGCACTGGCAAATCTTGGTGCTGTGAAGGTGGTGGAGTATCTCTAAAGCTATGGTGTCTCTCTGCCTCTTTAATCCTTATTAGGAGTTGATCCTCGCGTTGTTTGTATTTTTCTTCTCTTCTTAGTGCATCATCCTCCCTCCTTTTGAAGTCTTCTATTTGTTTCTTTTGCAGTTGAATATCCATATCCATTTTGGCCATGTTTTGCTCATTCTTTGAACAAAAAATACAACAGGTTTTTATGATAAAATTAATATAGGTTTCCGATCAATTGTAATATATAATTAATTATACCCCGATCACCAGTCTTTGAAACAGATTTCTCACCTTTAATATGATAGATCTCAATTCCTCGTTCTCTTTCAGTTCTTTTCTTAGTTTGTCAAAACGATTATCAAAATCTGTCTTTACTAAATAAAATGAATAAAATAATATTAGGCATAAAAACATCACTTTAATGGTTTCGACTAGATAAGCGATTGAAGTGGGACTCACATTCATCAACAACGCAGAAGGACTTTTCGGCAACGGAGGACATCTTTTCAAAATTCATATTATTGGTAGACAGGGAATTACCCAAACTTGTTTCAAAGGTCTTCATAGCTGTCTGTACCTGTTTGCCATCAAAATAAACACGTAAGTAGCAAATGGAAAATGTAATAAGGCCTCGTGGTGGTTGTGGTCATATATTTTTCTTTCTCTCTCTCTCTCTCTCTCTGTCTCTCTCTCTCTCTCTCTCTCTCTCTCTCTCTCTCTCTCTCTCTCT